GAGCCAGCGCGGCCGGTGCCGATTTGTTGCTCAACAAAAGTTGCGGTATTTGAGCAAATCTTATTAAGGATGATGATATGGCTGCTTGGAGGAAGGAGCCTGATTTGATTTGGTTTTGATTTTTCTTATTATAGGTTTTATTTTATTTTGATTTTTTTACTCGATTTGATTTTTCTTATTATAGGTTTTATTTTCTTATTCTTGGGGTTTTTTTTAAATTTTATTTTGTTTTCTGCTGTTGTGTTTTACTCTCATAGAATCACAGAAGCAGAATGTCCTGAGTTGGAAGACATCCAAAAGTAACATCAGTGCAATTCCTGGCAGTGCACAGCACACCCCACAAACCTCACCCTGTGCCCGAGAGCATTTCCAAACCCTTCTTGAGCTCTGTAGGCTCAGTGCAGTGAGCGCTGCCCTGCAGAGCCTGTTCCAGGGCCCAACCACCCCCTGGGTATAAAACCTTTTCCCAATATTCAACTTAACCTTTATTTTACAGCTGTTGTGTTTTTATTATATTGTAATTTATTTTATTTTATTTTATTTTATAGAGGCTTATTTATTTATTTATAAACATCTGATCCTGCTAGAGCTGAAAAATTAACTCACATGTGCTCTTCCTGGCCCCCTACATGAGTTACCCACCTAAACTAGATAAAAGAGAGGGATTATTCCTGGAGCTAGGATTGGTAGCAGTAAAACACCTTTCCTATATACGTTCCTTAACGAAAGTTGTCCCATGTCCCAGCTGCTGCTGCTGCTGCTTTGGAGCTGATTATGGGTTTGCACGTGAGAAAGCCTGGGGGCATAAATTTTATTGTTATTTAAATTTTTTAAAAATTAATTTTAATTTTATAATTAAATTTTATTTACATTCTTATTTAATTTTTATTTAAATTAATTTATATTGATTTGAGGTCTTTTTTTAACTTTCTAATTAATTTCATTTTTTCTATTCACATTGCTTGGTCTCAGAAAACAGCTTTACTTTTGGATGTCTCCCAGGCCATCATGGACACATTCTTTCTCCAAGTGCATTTTAGGACGAAAAAAAGCCAATTAAGATGCATTAAATGTTGTGGCTTCCCGGACAGATTGTAAGTTTTTTGTTCAAATCAGCTCTGTGGCTTCCCCTGACCCTGCTCTCTCCAGGAATTCCAGGAGGCTTTTTGCCCTGAGAGCAAACTCCCCTAAATATCACTGGAATTTAGGAGAAACCACATGGCCATTTCCTTCTTGCTGGATAGAAAGGATTTCCAGGCCAGGTCTGTCGGTGAGAAGATCAGAAAGAAGAACACCAGCTGCAGATGGGAGCTGTCAGGGCAGTTGCTCTGTTGGTGGCTCCAGTTCCTGTCACCAAGGTCCTGCTGCAGGTCCCTGGTCACGGCTCCTGGGAGCTCCCCAGCTGTTGAGCAATGGTGAAATCAGCTCCTCTTGCGAAACATTTCTGTCATTTGAGGTCTCGAGTGCTTGCCCTTGGGCCGGGCTGTGCACACAGGGCTGGAGCACTCCAGCTGCTCTCTGAGCTCTGAGCTCAACAGCTCCGAGACCAAAGCGCTGCTGCCTCAAAGGGGAAAGGTATTGAATTCAAGTGAGGCTGGGAAATCACCACAGCTCAAAGGGGAAAAGTATTGAATTCGAGTGAGGCTGGGAAATCATCACAGCCTCAATGGGAAAAGTATTGAATTCAAGTGAGCCTGGGAAATTATCAATCACAGCTCAAAGGGGAAAGGTGTTGAATTCAAGTGAGGCTGCGAAATCATCACAGCTCAAAGGGGAAAAGTATTGAATTCGAGTGAGGCTGGGAAATCATCACAGCCTCAAAGGGAAAAATTATTGAATTCAAGTGAGGCTGGAAAATCATCCCAGCTTTGCCAGGGTACCTGTTGCTGATTCCCTGACTTCTGGGACTCTGGCTGGGCCCTCCCAGGGGGCTCCTGGCTTTGTGTCAGGAAAGAGACACACACAGTATCTTTTTGGTCTTCAGGTTCTTGTCTGTTGTTATCTTATCTAGAGTTTTGCACGCTGCCCACACCAGGCTCAGTGCACTGGAAAAGCACCACAAAAATTGCCAACAATCTCTCATTACAAGGTCTTTTAAAGCTAAACTATCCAATTAAGAACTGACACCTAGATTATTTTCCCTTTTACCCAAATAACTGATCCCACAGAGTCCACAATGCAGACTTTTCCACCCAATTACAAAATGCCACCCAAACCCATGAAGAAGAAGGAAGAAGAAGTGTGAAGAAGAAACCCAGCATCTTGCTTCCATCCACAACATACTAAAAATCCCAAAACCTCAATTTCTCACCAAGTGATACACCTACACAACTCTCTGCAATCCACCCTAGTGGATTCTAGTCTGTTCTGGAGTTTAGGAAACTTTCTCCCTGAATGAGGGTCAAAGTCAGTGCTCCCCTGGAGGTCTGGGCACCCCAGAGCAGACAGGGAAATATTCCCAGTGCTCTGGGTTTCCACACAGCTTCAAAGGTGAAAAGTATTGAATTCAAGTGAGGCTGGAAAATTATCACAACTTCAAAGGGGAAAAGTATTGAATTCAAGTGAGGCTGGGAAATGATCACAGCTTCAATGAGCTTGACTGTGTCCTGAGCCGAAGTACTGGGTGGGAAGGCACAAAGGCCTCCTGGAGCCCTCTGTTCCCAGGATAAGCCTTGGGGAAAAAGGATCTCCAGAACCCAGTGGAGACTCTTCATGTCCTCTTGAGCCACTTGGTAAAACACAACCCCATGGTGTGAAGGATGTGGCTTCCTGACACACAAGTGCTCTTGACCTACAGAACAGTTGGTTCTATGCTCATTTTTCAGTACTTGTGTGTTAATTATTTCCCTGAGCAGGCTCTGGCTGTGCCCAGATTAAACACTGAGGGGGTTGTAGGGTCTGAGTGGGGCATGGCAGTGCTGGAGGGGGTGACTGTGGGAGTGCCCTGCATCATATACTGCGTTTAAACTTGGAGTTACGGCTCAGTGGGACAAAGAGACTTAACCTTCTTCCAACATCCCCTGAATAACTGAGAACAAATGCAAAACACAGGCAAAACTTGCTGAAAACCACAAATTGTTACTTGTACATAACAATCAATGAATCAATAATTAGAGAATACTGGAACAAGGCAGTTACTTGTTTCTCAGCCCATGCTTTGCTATAGTATCTTGTTTTTTAAGTGCTACACATCTTCTACACTTAACCAACCTACACCTCTCCCACCTGGACTCACTTGTGCATTAAAGTGCTTCCTGGGTGATGAGATCACTTTGTAGACAGCAGTGAGAGTCTTTATTGAGCCCCTAATGTAACAGACCAAACAGATTCACTTCTTTCTACAGTTCAAAGTAAGTATCTTCAATATTCAGTGAAAAGTACCTATGCTTCTCAGGTCTGAAATAAAAAATAACTTGGTATTTAATAGAGGAAGTAATATCAGAGGAAATCTTGGATGATTTAACACTGGAAGGATTTGTACTGCTCAGGTTGGACACAACTCCCTTGGTCTTGTTTAGTGTGTTTTACATTTATTACAGTTGGCTGCATCTGTTACAGCAGTTCCAAGGTAGACATGCTAAGCTTTAGCTCTCCTTCCTCAAAAATATTCCTGGCATTACTTCCTAGGAAT